CAGAATTTTCTGGAGGACCAAGCCTGGGCCAAAACATGGCAATAATCTACGTCTCTGTACAAAAATTAAATTAAAAAATTAGTCAGGCGTCGTGGGGTGGCGGTGTGTCTGTAATCCCAGCTACTCGGAGGCTGAGCCAGGAGAATCGGTTGAATCCAGGAGGCGGAGTTGCAGTGAGCCGAGATTGAGCAGCTGCCTCCAGCCTGGGTAACAGAGCAAAACTCCATCTCAAAGAAAAAAAAAAAAAGAAATTGCAATATGGGTACCCTAGACTTCCTTCCCTAGAATTAGCTCTCAACTGAAGTCTCAATCCAATTACTTTTTAATGTTTATGTGCAGTCCTCACAGTTTCATGACAGAAAAAAGACTCTTCTGTCATGCCCAGTGCTTGTTTGAAATAGCTTCTGTTGCTATGGACAAATGTTTGTGTTCCCCGCAAATTGATGTGTTGACAACCTAATTCCCCTATGTGATGGTATCAGGAGGTGGAGGTTTTTGGGAGTTAATTAGGTCATGTGAGTACCCTTCAGCCCTAATATAAGGTACTAATCCTTTATAAGGGGCTGAAGAGACTAGAGTTCAACCCTTCCACAATGTGAGGACACAGTGAAAAGACCCCACTACACATCATAGAGTCACCCTCACTGAATATTCTGGTGCCTTAATCTGAACTCTAACCTCCAGAATTGTGAGCAATAAATTTTGTTGTTTATAAGCCACCCAGTTGATGGTATTTTACTATAGCAGCCTGGATAGACTAAAACATTCCTGTTCGCTTGGTTCTGGCTGAGTTGGGGAAATTCCTGATAACCACTTGTTGTTGGTGTGTTGTTTTGTTTGTTTGTTTTTGAGACAAAGTCTCACTCTGTCGCCAGGCTGGAGTACAGTGGCATGACCTCGGGTCACTGCAACCTCTCCCTCCGGTTCAAGTGATTCTCCTGCCTCAGCTTCCCAAGTAGCTGGGACTACAGGCATGCACCCACCATGCCTGGCTAATTTTTGTATTTTTATAGGAGATGGGGTTTCACCATGTTGCCCAGGCTGGCCTCGAACTCCTGACCTCAAGTGATCCGCCTGCCTTGGCCTCCCAAACTGCTGGGATTACAGGCATTGCACCACCATGCCTGGCTAATTTTTGTATTTTTAGTAGAGATGGGGTTTCACCATGTTGCCCAGGCTGGCCTCGAACTCCTGACCTCAAGTGATCCGCCTGCCTTGGCCTCCCAAACTGCTGGGATTACAGGCATGAGCCACTGTGCCTGGCCTTCCTGATAACTACTTTTAACACCATTGCCTCTGGTGGCTATTACCTAAAGTGAAGATTCAGCCTGTGGCACCCACACTTGGAGCACCATAACATTAGTCTAAGTTTTCTAAATTTCGAACTCTCAACAAGGCTTTTCATTGTTTTTGTTACTCTTCAAAATGGTAAAAGAGTTTGCCCTGCATGCAGTCTCCAAAGGTCTCAGTTGGTGGTCTACTCGTCCACACATTTGTCCTACATGGCACCTCTCCACTCTGAATCAGAAGGGCTGGGAAGCCAGAGGAGAATCTTGGAGTTATATCTTCTAAGTTTCCTATTGATGAAATGTTATCCTTCCCTTCTTCCAAGGGCATTGTTGAGAAAATCAGGCAAAGTCCTGTATTCCCAGCCTATATTCTAGCAGAGTACAACTTGTCCCCTACAACATCCAGCAGGCAGAATTTAAATGCCACTAGCAAGCATATATTGGATATGTATTATTCTTCAGGTACTGTACTAGTCCCTTTATATTTCACAGGTCCTAAATTCACCCTCAAGTTTGCTGATTCACCACAAGGACTCATAAAACTCAATACTCATGGCTAAGGTTTTGTTAGAGCAAGATTACACAGACTAAGAGCAATAGGAAAAATATATCAGGAGAAATCCAGAGAGGTCAGGGACAGGCTTTTGAGTACTTTCCCATCTGGGGCCACATAGGATATGCTTTCTCTCTAGCAGCAAGCTGCATTGACATGAGCAGAATGTCTCTGCCCAGGGAAAACTGTTTAAGTCTCTTGGTCTAAGACTTTTATCAAGATTCAGGCTCATAGTGACATCATGCTACATTACCAGCCAAAGCAACTGAAACACAGGATCACAAATGAAACCAAATGCACTTCATACAGGTTGATGTTTATGCAAAGCAATCCTGACAAGCTGGAGGCCTGGTCCATTGCTCCAGGTGTATAAAATATAATCATCAACCATTCACATAAGAACATTCTGAGGACCACATTTCCAGGGGTTGGCCAAAGGTCAGCAATGATTCCAGGTTCCCTTGAAGACATGCAAGGACTGAACAGCCAGACCTGCTGCATTAACACTATGTATCTTTTATTTAAACTTCAACAGTCCCCCAGTATATGGGGTATTAGATGAGTAAACTGAGGCTCTGGAACATATAGTAAGATTACATCTAGTAATTGGCTGAACTGAGATTTGGATCTATGACTGGCTTATGCTCAGTCATTCATTATGGTGTACTGCCTTCTCACTACCAGCTACTAGGATGCTCATTACTCACAGATCACCCAATCTATCTATGTGAGCAAAATCTCTAATTCACTTTATTTTTTTCTTTTTTGAGACAGAGTTTCGCTCTGTTACCCAGGCTGAAGTGCACTGGTGTGATCTCAGCTCACTGCAACCTCTGCCTCCTGGGTTCAAAAGGTTCTCCTTGGCCGGGCGCGGTGGCCCAAGCCTGTAATCCCAGCACTTTGGGAGGCCGAGACGGGCGGATCACAAGGTCAGGAGATCGAGATCCGAGGCCCATCCTGGGCTAGGAAACATCCTGATCTAAGAGATAGAAAACGCCGAATCAAATACTAACTGGTAGAGAAATTATGTACGAAATAATTATGACTAGTCCCAATAATGTTGTGCGATAAGATTGCGGTGATTCTGTGATTAATGAGCGTCGTGTAAGTAGCATGGTAGTGAGAGGCCCAGTTCACAATAATGATGATGGAGATAGAGGGCATGTGTAATAGATTTCACCATACGTCCTTGACTCTG